AAAGCGATTTACTGCATTTATTTTGCACTGTTTTCTTTTTCAGTCGTTAAAAATGACCATAAAATTCACATCTGGGATTATATTCCAGATTTTTTTTTTTTAATTGTGCCATGTGTCTATATTTTGCAACCTGCCACTAATGCTTCATTATTTTAGACAGTCTGCTATCTCAAATTTTCCATACGTACATGTTCACTTTTGATTTAGTCTACTTCATCATTTTCCACATAATTCTGGTAAAACATGCTTTGTTCAAGTTATTTGTTTCATGGGAAAACTTGTCTGATGACCTGACAGCTTTCTCACACTTCTGATTATATCACATCTGTCTGTATCTTGTGACTACAATACAGATATCATGCTAAAACACTGTAGTCAGCTTTAAACAAATGACATCAGAAACACAAAAATTAAACACTATTTCCAACTTCCAGGTATCCAACCCTCCCAAAGATGGACAGAGAAACTCACCCTCTGTCCCACAATTGGGCTGTATTAAGAAACCCTAAACAATAATTTGCTTCCTTACGTTTTGTAGATAAATCCTCAACATTCTTTGCTTTGTGTGCTTTGCTATCTGAACTAGACTACATGAGTGTTAACATTCAAAACCTAAAAAACAAGAGTGGAGCTAAATCCATTGAAGGAACAAATAATAAGAAGTTACAGCAGGCAGCAATTAGCTTGATAATCCAAAGGTACACAAAGGTACTTTTTAAAACTGAAATCCGCAAACGGTACTTGAGAAAACATAAGACTTTTAAGAAAATGGCATCATCAAACACAGTCATGCTTATAGTGTTAGTATTCTAGATAGCCTAGGCCTGCTCCAAAAAAGAAGTTACTGTGTGCAACAGAACAATCTGTTCCCAGTTTACTGCATGTAGTTAATTGGTTCTTCATTTCACATAAAGTCAGCAATTCCCAATACTTGAGGTAAATCATCTTATTGCCTTTCAAGTCACTGGATTACAGGGTTACTTTTCCAGTTTTGGTTCGGCGTCGTCTCCGGAGAGGAAAAGCAGAGGGAACATTCCTAAGATACAGCCGATGAAAACTCCTATGGCTTTTCCCTGGAAAATACAAGGACAAACCAGACACGCATTTCAATGATTGAAAATCCAAAGCCTTGTTTGAGAAAAAATTACTGTGTTATGAATTTTAACGACAGGAAAGCTAAAAAACAGAAATTTAGAAAGTGCTTGTTATGAATGAAAAGCAATCCTGAATTACTGCCGAAATCTGCAAAGGCTTTTCATGATTTGAGTTTCCTTTCACAGCTGCCCTATTCAAAGTGACAACATGACAAGTAATTCTAATGACAAACCAGGAACATTCTAAAAATACATTTATCCAGTTGGTGTATGTTCTGCATGAACGTTGAAGGAAAAAAAACTTTATCTGATACTATTATTAGTTTCTAGAGAGGTTCTCTCATATTTGTTAGAAGACAATTTAAAAGAATCCCAGCCTTTAGACAATGCAGTGGGTAGAAGAAAGTAAAGTAACTATAAAATAAAATAAAGCGACTGCGATATAAGTTCTGACAAAGCAGAAATTCAAATAAATTTGACTTTATCTACACTGCAAGCTGTCTGAAGTGTTTATTCCCTCTGCTTGGTGCACAGCAGGTTGTATAATTAATCACATGCATCACAAAGGAGGTTCTGCAAGTTGCCTTCCATGAAAATGTGCACACTAACATAGGGCTGGGCAAAACATTTTGGCTGGGCCAAAAACATTATCACGATAAAAAAGTTTCATATCCGGCGATATCAATACTTATCACGATAAATGTTAAATCATTATTTCTTTCAAGTTTAAAGGCAGTTTTTTTCTCCTGATTGAAACCAGACAGTTAACTGGTAAATTAAACAACTTCTTATTTTAAAAACACAACAAACACTTCCCAAACAGCAGAAACATTAAACAAATCTGTTAGCTGCCTGGTCTGCAACACGCACGCGCACTTGCGCAGTATTTTGTGCGCATGCGCATATCATGCGCAAAGCATAAACATATATATTGAACATTTATCGCACTTTTGTTAAAATTATATAGAGGAAAATTATATCACGATAATTGTCGTTATCGAATTATCGCCCAGCTCTACGCTAACATACTTCATACAGATGTGCAGCGCTATCTAATGTGCTTTTCCACAGAGGGCCTCTCCAGGTACGCACAGAAGCCAACACATCCGAAATTCTGTGTTGTGATCCACGTTCAAAGTGGACATGTTTTTACTGACACTTAACATCTTTCACATATAAAACTGTTCATGTTTCAGCATTCAAATTTTGATTACAAATATTTATATAGTATATATAAACAGAATAGTGTAATTAAATACACTGTAATTCAACAAAATGGCACCTCACTGCAAAGGAGTGGATACTTTTGCAAATGTCCACATATGTTATGTTAAAATACTTTTATATCTTTAGCAATAAACATGCTACATAATTATAACCATTATTAAGGCGTCAGTACAGTGCAAAAACAAATACAAAAATAACAATGAATCTGTTAACATTATTCTTTTTCATGCTTATGGAAGTATGATTGTAGGACAGCAGCCCACTGGCATTCCCACAGATAACCTTGTGGTGCTTATAATGTAGGTTGTTATCAATCATGTAAAAGCTGACGCACCATTTATATCATCTAGCTTCTCCTGAATCAGTCGAGAGAAGAGGAACTAATTACATTCTGGGGCTTAAAGGAATGCCCGACACTATTCAAGGATAAAAGGTTTCGGTGGACCTGATCCAAGTATTCAAAAGCCAATAAAGTGGACTTTGCCAGAGGACAACTGAAAACTATGTAGGTCTTCATTTAATGCTGAGAACAGGAGGTACATCTTTAGGCAAAGGGTTATGGGAACATTGTAAAAACTACCAGTCATATTGTTAAAACCACTAACCTCAGGTCTACTTCCTAATCTAAACTCTGTGTTCCTAGAGTAGGTCTAGGCTGTGCTCCTTGGGTCAGGAATGACTTACCCCATGATATGAAGGCAGTCCAATCCAAGCTTTTAACTCAAGAGCCAAACGTATCTGTACAATAAAGCCTTTAGTGCTGCCTGATTTTACCCTAATGTATTGATTCAGATCTCTTTTATTTACTTATTTATGTCTGTATATTGTGTTGTCTGATTTTATCCTCTATTTTGTCCTGTTTATTAATTGTGTTGCATATATTAAATTGTGTATTTTACTGCACCTTTAAAAGTGCACTTTTAATAAAATGTATTATTAAACAACAGATAGACAACAACGGTAACTCTGGACAAAAAGAGAAAAAAATAAGTCACAGGACACTCACACTGTGTGCGCTCACTCTCGTCTGCCACATGTCCGCTTGTTTCGGAGTAAGATCAGGGATCTGTAGGCCGAGTCTGCTAGCCAAAGCTTCAACGTAGCCTGCAAGACTGCACACAGTAACTTTGTGAGGAAAACGGTTGTCAAAAATGTTAACATTTTAAGCCAGTTATAATAAAGAGATTCAGTGAGATTCAATCAGATGCAATCAACTACAGTGGAAATAATTGTTCCAGAGTACCTTACAGCTGAGCTGACTCCCTGTAGGTATGTGATGAAAATCAACAGATGCAGGTGAAGCAGGGTTGTGTAAACAAGATTGTAGATGGTCCATTAAACATGACCCAGTAAACTGACTCATCTCAATGAGGGCATCTCAATGATACAGTCGTCACTCACAGTAAATCTTTGCTCTACCAAGAAACATCCTTATTTGCAATTGGTAGAAAAGGGTATTTCCTTATTCTTTTTAAAAAATCTCTTTCTCCCCATGAAAACACTAGTACACATAGCTCCTTTAAGAGGCTTCAAATGCAAAGGCAAAAAAAGACTTGGAATACAATGTCTAATATGACTCAAAAGCTTAGACAAAGACTTGTGTTCACCAGGTTTTTTTATTCTAAACAAAGATTCTTTTTTCTGTTCATTCACAAATTGACAGGGGTTCCTACCTAATGACTTTTTTTATCACAATTAAAAACAAAAAAACTACAGATAAAATGCAGAGATAAAAATCCAAATGAGCCAAAGGAACTCTATGTGGAAAAGCCAATACCCATCTAGTTTAAACTGTGCAGATTGTATGAGTGTAAATTTCCTTCTTGTCTTCCTTTGGAAAATGTCCCACTACCTACAGTATATTCACTCACCACAGAAGCAGATCTGTTACACAAAAGCTAGTGTGAAAGCATAATTTGACAATAGTAGAGCACTACAGTGCAATATTCCCAGAAACATACCATACTATAAAACAAGACTGCAGGTCTAACAAGCAACAACCCAAAATTATTTTAAAAACACCTGGCAAACCGATACCAAAGTGAATTTGAACTCCTATTGGGGATATACACATCTGACATATATACAGGAAACCAGAACGTAAGAGTTCTATACCTCAAAAAACAAAACAGGAAAAAAGGAACAAGATATTAATACTGATAAGTAAGAGAAGTGGTTATTAATGAACATTTAAGAGGTAGTGCTCAGTAGCCTTTATAACAGATATCTATTAGCATTTGGGGAATCATCTTGGGCTTTTCTGATAAAAAACATTTTTTCCTGAGTGTTATTTTCCTGATAATAGTTTCTTGAAAAGTAAAATTAAAACTTCTACTAATGTGGTTCTTCAATGTGGACCACCACATAACTCGCATTAAAAGGAAAAATTTAATAAGTCACAGTGCTCACATTAATCACATTTGGATTTGATTTGTAATCAGAAAGTAAAACGGTCATGAAGGCAGAGCTCAATGAAGCAGAAACTGCACTGTCATTACCGTGCTTTGGAAAGCAGCAATGCCACAGAGAATTTTCAAGTTCTTACCCCAGTCCTGCCAGGTCGGAAACTAGGTTTCCAAGGGCTGCAGCTGTAACAAAAGGGCACAAAGAACCATGATTAAACAAGGCCAGATTAAAAGGACAACCGTCAGCCCAAGATTCATGTGAAGGGAGGAACCAGCAGAACAGCCCGGAATTCCATCTTCATTCATCTTGTACACAGACCCAGCAGTGGGTGCCAGTGACTGATTTGTTCTAGCACAATTTTAAACATAACCAAACATTTTAATTATTTACGAAATTGAAAACCCAGCCAACACGGGAGACGGTTGCATGACATTTTGGGAAAGAAGTGTTAAACCAGAAGAAAATGGTAGAAATTCCATTCACTTCACCATGATACCATACGTGCACCTTCTTCAAAGTAAGAGAAAGAAAATGATGACAAGCAGTCAGTTCTTACTTTTAATTGTACTTTCATCAGATTAATGCTGCTTTTTCAGCATTCCTCTTTGCTTTTTATCAATTACAAACTCCAATATGCACTTCCCCTAACATTAGTCAGTTCCCTATCATGGAGTGTCATAATCAATATGAAGGGATAAGCATTTTTTAACCAAAAATGGATGTGTATAGAGGAGAGTGAGAGGGACAGGTTTTCTTAATGATATTCTTTTTAGTAGACTATTATTTGTATTTAAAATCATTTTAAAGTACTAATGAACAGAAAAGAGCATATATTGTATTCTTAACCTCATCCGATATTAAATCTAGATTGAGTATATTAAATGCTAAATGTCAACTTTTGTTTTGAAAGAGGAAATGTTATACTGTAGTTATGTACACGACTAACTATAAAAGAAAATATTATAGTAATGTACATTTATGTGAAAAAACAATGTAGCTTAAAGGCCAAATGCATAGTAAATTTCATAACTAGCATCAAGGCATATTATTATATTGAGAAGTAAGAGTTGAAGAATGAACAATTTCGAATACACATCGTGATCATGAATGAATAATAATCACGGTGCAGCCTGACTCTGCTGATTCCAGCCCTTATGTCTAAAATGAATATGTCTATTAAATGCTTAAACTACACCATGGATGTGGCTAAAATGCCAGTGGGCAAGCTGATAAGAGTAAATCTGAGAGTAAGACGAGAAAAAAACTGTGTCCTTTTAGCAACATTTTTCAACGTCACAGACCTTTAGTCACAAACAGTACTGGATGTATGGCAAACACTCCCAGTCTCGTCTACACTAGCACCTTTCATGACACTCAGTTCCTCACTGCAATTAATTCACACAGTATCGTAGCAGGAAGAAATCTATATATTGAAGCAAATACTTGTGGCTAGCAGATTACCTCTGTGTATAATAACAAAGGTCAACCCTTCAATTTGTACTTTTAGTACAGACTCTTATTGATACCATACAGTACTCTTCCTATATTTTCCTTCTATATTACTTTTTGAACATGCATGCGTTCTCTTTTGCATTCATTGATAAATAAATGCATAACATTTACTCCTCGAAATAAAACATTATAACAAACTTAAGTTAGACAATAGAACCCGATAGGAATAAATCTTTCAGTGTTTGTGGGCAATAACTTGTCACTTTGAAGACATTCAGGGTTATATGCCTTAGCACAGGTGTGCTATACTATAATAACCTGCTAATATACTGTAGGTACATTTCTGTGCTGTTCAAGAATAAAGTAGAAAATGACAAGATAAACATACTGGACAGTGTGAGATATTATTCACTAATAAAATTAAAAGTAAAACCTTACATACCGGCCATGGTTGAAATTCCAAAGATGACACCTATAGACATTTCTATCTGTGTTCCCTGTGAAATTAAAAAAAAACATTATAGTCTCTTCAAAATTATGTTGTGCTTCCTGACCCTCAAACCGGTTCATTCTACCTATGCTTATTTGATAGCTTTATGACATCATTTTATCACTAATAATTAGTAAGTAGTTATCTCCATAAAGGAATAAACTAAGTTTGAAGTTCAATAATTCAAAAGGGGGATTTTCAAAATGTTGAAAGAACGTGGTTACTACTTGGAAAGGAGTGATTAAAACTGAAAAACTATTTAACAGCAAAATGAGCCTGTGTCCACTGAATAATAAGTACAATTGGTGTAGGCCTACTTTATTTTTTTATAAAACAATTTTAAACTGTCGCAGTAAATTTCTTAGTAATTCTGTTAAAAGTCTTTTCAATCCTCAATAAAAAAATGAATGAGAAATTAAAATATAAGGGCACCCCAATATTCATATGGTTTAATGATTATTACCATTTTGGTATGAGATAAATATAAAGGATCTCTACATATGATCAAACTAGCCTCCACTGGAATTGAAATGACTTACCACAAAAAAAACACAAACAGCATATCTGGCAGGAGGTAAATGTCTTGAGCACAGGTACATAACCACTAAACAAATTACAAAGAAGCTCTCTCTGTGGTGGAGAAGCAGGAAACTTAAACTTAAAGGGGAACTGCAATGCTATTTTTACATTTCAGGGTTATAATGAAATTGCAATGATGAGTGCATTTCAAATCGCAATGAAACTACCAAGTACACAGAGTAATCTGTACAGGCTCCAATTTTGATTAAAAAAAGAGACAAAATTTCAATGTATGCATAGTGCAATATTGTTATTGTCTGCGATTCAAAACAACAACAAAACTTCTGATGACACGCAAAGCTGCCCTATTATATTATAGTGGTTCAGGTGGGTAGCTGCGTCAGCATACAGTGCATAGGCTGCAAAGGAACAAGTAATAGGTTTATTCCATGCTGAAAAGAGAAGAAAGAAAACACAAAGTTTTGGCCGTGGAGCCTTCTTCGTGTGAAGGCTTCACAATTGAAACTTTGTGTTTTCTTTCTCCTCTTTTCAGCATGGAAAAAACCTATTACTTGTTCCTATTAAATTGTATACATGCTTTAGACCAAGTAAATTCTGCTACGATATTAATAGTAAATATTTTCATGAAACTGACACATACAAGGCAACATGCTTTTTAGAAAAAAAAAAACAACAACATGCCAACCAACTTAAATATACTTGTATTCATTTTCAAGTTTTGCTAAAGTGCTGTTATCATTTACACTGGTAGTTACTTTATGGTAAATCACATCTAAAAGAAAAATCTTAGCAGTGCCGTGACCTGAAAGGCTGTTTTAAAAGAGTGCAACTGAACTGAATTTCACATATCGACTTCAAGCAATTGTGCCGACAAATACTACTTACTTGTTAACTCAGCATGCAGATGGCGTTTGAACATTTCTGTGGTATTTCAATTGTACGTCACGCTGAACTTAAAACTTGTTGATGGGACCAACATCAGTGCCCAAAGTTCAATATCCCTTGGAAGAGGAAAGAGTTTGACTTTCTGATCTGATCCTCTGTTTTGTGTGCGACCACTATGTTCTGAACAGCTAAATGCTTGACGTTGTTTAAGGCATCGTTTAAAATACATACAGTATGCAAATTCAAAAAGACAAAAAAGGATTAACCACTTACTGCTGCTATCATGATGGCGTTGTCCAAGAAACCAAACCCAATAAATGGGATCGCATTGTGAAGAAGCACTGGAAACAAAAAATTGAAAGTTAAGTGGGTACAATGATATAGAGAAATAAAGAAAATTGTATATGAAACACAAGCTGCAGCTTGAGCACTAAATCAACATTTCATTTGTCTACCAGCTATAATCTTCACAAGATTCTGATATGCAAATCACAGTCCACTAGGTATTGTCCTTGTCAACTAATTGACGTTTCCTGATATAGTGAAACTAAATTTAACACTATCCAGCGTCTCATCATCTCTCTCAGTACAAAAATAACCTTGTAAGAGAAGTACAAAATCAAGCTGCATTTTTTCACATTAAGTTGGCCATCCCTGAAAAATTCCCAATTATTTTTGTTTCTGAAACTTTAAGGAGATGTGTAATTCAGCACACTAAACAACTGAAACAGCAAAATAATAAGGTATAGCATGACAAGCAATAATTTTCTACCCACTGAAATAACACTGGGATGTCTTAATAAGTAGTCAGTGTAATAAGAATTTTAAAAGAATAGATAAAAGTGCATTACCCTGGGAAAATGCCTTTTAAGACTTTTTTGGGTCTGTCAACAGTATAAAATTTTAATGCATGCATAAATGATTTCTCAGGTGGCACCAAACAAACAGCAATCTGTTTTAACTGTATAGTGAAGTTGTCCCTTGGCATTTACTAAAGGCCGTACGCAAATCAGGCTCCTAGTGTTTCAGAAATGTACTTTAGAGGGTTTTTTTTTTTACTTACAATTGGTTGTGCAAGTGACATAGCCATTTTTCTGCCCTGCCTATATATTTGTATTTGGTCTATGTCTTAGCAATACAAAGGGTCTTGATAATATTAAGATACTTTATTTATATGTGCTGTATACTTGAAAATCTAACATAAACGCCAACAGAAACACCTCTGAGTAGTACTTAATAAAGATGGACAGGAAAAGACTTTCTTTAAAGATAATAAATGGGGCATTGAGACCATGCCTTTCAAAAATAAATATGCACATAACTCAACTCATACTGGTATTTGAGCTGAAATGCGAGACAAGCATTTGCTAAGCTTTCATTGTTACAGTGTGTTATGATGCTTGCAACAATCACTGCTACACAGATAAAACTGAAGAGCAGAGGAAAGGATTTGAGGTTAGAATTCCTCCAGTCTAAAAGTATAATTAAAAGCCCTGAGCAGTTAATCACTTTAGTTTAAACATCTAACAGACATTACAAGAATTGAAGTGTTCCCAAAAGTATTGGGACAATTAAATCTAAATTGTTAATTTTACTTTACAATCATGGAAATTGCATTTTTGATTATGAAATGAAAGTGAATAGTAAGATAACCAATCCTCTATTTTTGAGAAATTCTTTAAATAACTTGGATGACACTAGATTATCAACACACTTTTTTTGTTCAGCCAAGTGATATCAAGTGACTGTATTGGACCACATCATAGTATTTGGCTGCATAGCCCTTTGAAGCAATAACTGCATGAACTCTGCGACCCTCTAAGCTCACCAGATTCTCTGTAGTCATTTGACATGATTTGTTCATCGTTTGCTCCGACCACTTCAACCTTTTGGTTATTTTTAAGGTATTCTGACTTCCTTTATTCCCCATTAACATGTAAAACTCACACTCTTTTGTACTGAGGTTTGGAGACTGACTCGGTTTTTCTTCTCCTAATAATTCATTGGTTGCACTGGGCATAATCTATTGAGTGATGCTATATCATGCTAACTGATAAAGAATAAGTACAGTGTCAAAGACATAGATGAGTCAGGGAAGTTTTGGAATAAAGGTTCATAGACAGATAAGACCATGTTAAACCTTTACCAATTTAAAGTGTGGAGGAAGAAAAAAATAAATTTTTGAAGAGCACCATCCCATGTGTTCACCTAGCATGGTGACCTCAGATTTCCAGTCCCAATACCCCTGCCCCACCTAACATATTTTTGTCTTTTATCACCACCAGCCACCTTCAAAACTGAGAACTGTGCAACACTCACTCAAACTGCTATACATGTTCACAGGCTAAGACTAAACATACTTTGTATGTAATGGGAAATGCAGAAAAACTATTACAGAGGTTCAGTCAAACTAGTTCATATGGAGGCACAGCATTACCCCCAGCAGATGTCAGTATGCTGCAAACTACTGCATACATATAAAATATGGTCGGTAAAGCTAATTACAGGAAAACAAATCACAACTTTGCTTCATGCTAGTGTTAACAATTGTAGCTGCATACATCAGTCCACATGTGTTAAGCACATTTTATGCATTTTATCCACTTTGTCTGCTTTTGTTCTAAGATCAGTTGATCACTCTCATGCTATTATAAGTGGGTTCAAACATAGAGCACATTTTATCTGGTAATTAAAAAATTCTGCCCTTCCCTACCAACTAAATTGAACTTTTGATCATCAGTCCATCGTCAAGCTCTGACTTACTCAATTATTCTATAGTCCCAAAGCCAATCCTGGCGGCCAGGGCTGGATTTTAAGGTCATTGCAGGCCCTAGTTACTTCTTATATGGATATATTGTTATGGGAGAATTGGTTTCTATGGGTAGACAGTTGATCAAAATGATCTCTTTTTGCATTTCCCTTTAATATACATTTAAAAAGAGATTGTTTAAAATGTTATATTGTACAAATAAAAAAAACACATGGTTAAAAACTATTTCACAGACCCCTGAAACAGGGCCCGCTGTGCCTACTGGACAAATCGGCCCTGCTGGCTTTACTGAAATGGCCAGTTTAGATTACCCAACTGTGGTCAAGCCTAACCTGCATGTGTCTGGGAGGTGGCTGGAAACTGGAGTGCCTGCTAAAAAAAACCTATGTGGAAGCAGGGAAGAATACAGATAGGGACCCCCAAGGGGAAAATAAATTCAGAACCCTTAAGGTAAGCAGTATGCATGCTGACCTCTATGAGGCACCTACCTGTCCTTTGAAAAAAATCTGACTATTTCTAACATTTAAAAGACATCTTACCATATCTTAGCTGAGCAGTTGTTGGAGGGGCCATTTCCAGTTTCTCTGAAATAAAACAAATAGAATTATATATAATCTTCCAAGTGTCTTTTCAAAGATAAAATCAATTCAACATTTAAGGATTGGAACACAATCTAAGGTTCATTCTTCACTCTGCAGGAAAGATGGCAGATGAGCAATTTACCTCAGTATGGTGCAGAACACTGATTAGGAGAAGATGGCATCAAATGACAGTAGCTCAGAGTTCCAGCTCCACTACTGTGCTATATCAATTGTAGGCTTATATAGCCTTTTATATTCTGATATGTACAGTACAGTACTTATCTTCTGTGGGGTACTTCTGAAAAGTCTATGTCAACGAATCACTGGTCTTATGTTGTAATATGCAGAGGCAACTATAAGATATCCCACTTTGAAAAAATTAAAAAAAAAAACATAGACTTTGATTCCAATAAAAATACAGCTTCACATCAGATCTATTTTTCAATGGTGATAAATTACACAAATTTTCTAATATATTCATCAGTAGAGGTACTGTAGCTGTAGTATTTACATAGTTCAGGAAATTAAATACAAATACTATTTTCTAGGGATGTTTAATTGATAAATGTATTCATGATTTGATGACAATTACGTTTTTATGGAATGGTGGAGTGCAACACAGTATTATTTACTGAAAATCAATTAGTAGAACAGGTAATTCTATGATTTGCTTTGTTTCAGAATTATTTCACACAAGTAATCATGTTGCCGAGGAAATTTCACACTCTTCCAGGGACGGTCAATTATAGCCAGCGTGTACCGTGACAAGTCTTTAAATTGCATCACAGCACACAAGCCTACACGGTCTACATATTTCAAATGCAGCTTGTAAGAATGCAGTGTATTTTATTTTTCCACACTGTATGCCGTAAAGATGAGAGTGAGCTTTTTGCCAGTTTCACGGATGAAATACAGAATTTTTTAAGAGAATGGGAAGTAATCCAAGACAGAGATACAGATGTATTAGACAAATCCCAGACACCAAATACTATTAACGTAATCATTAAATATTACACTGTCTGGTCAGGGAAAGATAAAATCAATGCAACATAAATCACTGTCCCTAAACAAGGTTGCTATAAAACTGTAATATACAATATTAATTAACATTAGAAAGGAAATTTATGTTTTTAATTTCAGAATTAACTGGGAAGAAATACCTTAACACTATCCACTACATAAAGTGCGATGCTCAGTGCCTAATAAACTAAAACTTAATCCTCAAGGGATGGATGGATTTATATCCTGTAAATCACCAGAAAAAAATCATACATTGTCCTGGCAAAATTAAATAGTATATGCATGCATATACTGTATAGTGCACAGGTCACCTATTGTGTATATTGGTCTCATATGGCTTGAAAATTTATTTTTTCAAGTGGGTCTAAAAGATGAAGCACCTATATTTCAGACTGTAATCATATATATCGTAAATGGGTGATAGTATTTAGTAAACTGGATGATAAAGACATGCCCCCACCCCACTTTTTTCTATCTTTCCAATGTATCGCAGGTGAGTATTACTGTATTAAACATACAAAGGATTGTATGGATTAAATGTCTGGCACAGGACAGTATTGTAGGAAAGACAGGATACACACTAAGTACGAAAAGTCAACAAGTCAGCACAACTTATATTAATTACTTAAACCACTGTTGAGCAAAACCGTCATAATTAAAAATAACTTGTGCATTTCTCCCTTTCAGCCAGATCTATCGAAATAGCAGTAAACATAGCGCAGCCCTGCAGATACACCTCTGAGGCCACTGAAGAACTGTATCTTAGCAACGTAAAAAAAACCCAGGGCTGCAGCAATTTAATTATTAGGAATAGGGCTGTATGGACACTGTTCACTTGAACCCTTGATCTACTATTTTTGCAAGAAGATTTACTGCATCCCTTATATCCCCTTTCTATTTGTCTGCTTCATCAAAAAAGCCATTGACTTTTCACAGGAGGTTCTCACAAAATTAGCAAAGCTCCCCTCACTATGAAAGAAATAATGAAATGGATGTCTCTTCAATTTGCCTCATTGTCAAAAGCATAGTTCTTCACATTTCTTTACAAGAACAGAAATAAATCATGTGTCACACACAACATAAACCTGTCAAGAATTTTAGAGTTGCCACATCAATCTGCCAATCATGAAAATAATAATTCACTTTAAGATTGTATGGTTAGTCTCTCACAGTGCGCAGAAACATGCTACTATTCTGTTTCGAGCTTGACTCATGCACTTGACTGTGTGATTTGCCTTGCACTGTGAATTCGTGCGCAAATACCACAATCCTGGAGTGTGTGCTTCCACCCAATGTTTCTCTCTGCTGATAATTTTGGATTTCCATGTCGACATCACATCGAAACATCAGCAAGTTGAATGGTTGTGTTCACTGAAGCTCCTGTCATATGGACCCCAACAATCCTCCCTCCTTGAAAGTCACTGAGATCTCCTCCTGCAGCCACTCTTGCCAAAATTACAGGCAAACAGGCCTCCAAGCACGCTGGGATGTTGTTTGCTTAATTTACGCATGAGCCAAACGTGTGTGGAAGTCCACACTTTCAATATACATGGTTTTCATCATTTACCCAGGAATTTTCATTTTCTTCCACTACTGTAGGTATGTCGCTTATTCCAGACAGCCCTTGGAATGACAAAGTACCCCCTTTTCTCAGTGTTAAATGCTTTTCTCCCTAAGATCCATCTTTGTCCTCTGTTGATGCTGAAGAAATCCTTGTGGTTGACTTTGTCAATGCCTTTTAGGTTTTTAAATACTTTAAATCCAAATTCCCTCATTGTCTTCTCTCAGTTCAAGATTAAAAACATTCAGTTCTTTTAGCCTGCAAATGGAGGAGATTCCCTGGAATCATAACATCTACTGTACATGTTGTTATCTGTACCGATTCCAGACCAGCAATTATCTTTCTTGGATCTTGCGGGCCAAAACTGTACAAAAGGTTCCAAATGAGGTCCTACCAATACATTCTTCTGTACATCTTCATTGTCCTGGATTTAAATTGTGCATTTTGAACTTTGTATCCTAACACTGTTGTCCTCCCTAATAGTTCCTCTGTCTAGAGGAAGGTGCATCACCATAAATACCCAAGTCATAGGAACAAAGGTTTACCATGGCAATAAAAAAATAAATTTGGACATCTCCAAGTTATTGGATGTTTTCCCCTATTCTCTTTTTACAAATCAGCTCTTGATTTCCACCCAATGCAGCCAACTCTAAAAATAATAAGCCACTGTCTTCTACTCTGAATACATAAAGACCTAACAGAGCCTTATTCCTGGAGAACAGTCTGTTTTTACATACTATCACTATATTTAGTAATGACAAAGTCCAGAAGCTCCTAGTTTTATAAATAATAATAGAAAAAATGGCCTCAGTGTTTAAAGTAATTTGTCTTATCCGTCAAAGACTCCAAGAAATGCGTCCTTAAGTACTCTGTGAAGCTTCCAACAAACTCCCTGAAGCCCTGGATAGGTTTCAGAGGTGGAAAAAAAATCTATTTTTTACTTTCATGAGGAGCCTTTTTGTTGCAAAACATTTGTTAACTTGCTGCTCTTTGCGACAATGTCCAATGTGAGGACCAGTGGCAAAAGACTAAGGCAAAGTGCAGAAAAAAAGACAGTAAGAGACAGCTCTGCACTGAAAATTTAAAATAAGTTACAAATGCAGAGTCAGTTCCCTATGCACTAAATAATGTTGGCAGGAAAAAACCCCTGAAAGAACTGACATCCCTCTCAAAGTTGACAAAAAAATAAAACATGCTGACAACCAGTATGTAAAAAAGCAATATCACTCATCTTTCTTGCCAGCAGCAGAGGCTTTTACATCTAGCACAAGCATGCTGAATTAAAAGCAGCACATAAAGCATGTGGAGGCACTTGGCATAACTAGGCACACTCCTGTATACCTCGCCCATCTGCCACAGCCCCAGAGACTGCTGCTCCCCCAGGCGTCTGGCTTAGAGGAACCAGGTTTTTTGTGTAGCGAGATTTTTCTGAAGCTAGAAAATAAAACAAACAGGGATTTTCAAAAAAAGGGGTAAAAACCAACAACAACAAAATATGGGATACTGAAACAAAAAAGCACACACAAAAAAGGTGCATTAATAATTCCGACCTCTTTGTAAGGGGAACCTACGTGGCTGGTCAGTTTAGTGGAACATACAGAGTATACCGTGAATCCGCCGAAAGACATGGCATTCAGTGCAATAAAGGGCTAAATCCTGTTGCTTGTATTTCTGGAAAAAAATACCGCAAACTGTTGGATAGGCTCAATCAAACCTCCCTCTATCAAGAAACATGTGAAAAGGCTTACACATCGCTTTAAAGTGAAATAACACAGACTTCAAAGCAAGAAACAAAATCAGTTTTACAAATGATTCTTTTGTTATATGCCACTCATGACCGGGATGTGGCATATCATGCCGTGATCATTTAGAGATGGGAGGAAAACCGGTGAGCGCTATGGGGAAAAAAAAAAGCTTTGCGTGAACCCAGGGAGAATACGCAAGTTCCCACACAGTCATTCTGGAACTAGGAGGTATTGAATGAAGAATTAACAGCAAAGCAGTATGAAGTCATTTATTTTCTGAATGCAAAGATCCTGATGGCAGCTTCTGGTCCAGCTGCGCTGAGGGCGTGTAGTCCTCCATCGGGTCTGCGGCTTGGGCAGTCCTCTAGTCCTCTACATAGTTTGCTCCATCCCACAGGAACAACGAGGGCTTGCACTGACCCCCTATCTATACAGGGCTATAGGGGAGCAATGGATCAGTGTTCATGTCTCACCCCCATCAGTACCCAGTATGCCAGTGGAAGTTAATGATCTGACTAATAGTCTACATTCTAAATTTCATGAAAGGAGTCTTGAAAAATCCAAATCCAAGTCCCAAAGCCAAGCTGTAGTCATGAACCACAACAGCCCCATATAAGTGTAAGGTATTATTATTAACAGCCCCAAAGAAGCTTAAAATATTCACAAAAAGCAGTCCGTAACAGGAGGCTACAAAAAGAAAATGAGACCAAATACATACAACTGTGGCTTTGATTCTGAAAGTAACCTACATTACTCGAACTGTCATTATATCTGGTGGTTCCAAAGACTTAAGGAAGTAATCAAGTTGGCATGAGTGAACTGTCACTGACAGGTTATTTAATTAGCACTGAAAGTAACCTGAAAAATGACAAACAATACTGTTATCTGCATATGCTGAGTAAACGTCATGAAAAAATCCACTATTTAATTAACTATATTGTGGCATTGGGAAATTGCAGATGTTACTTTTAGAAAATCCTGTCTCATCTCATTTCACGGTAGTGCTCACATCCTAAGCTTTTTCCCTGATTTGAAAACCAAGCCTATAAAATGGAATGTAACTGAAAAACTCATTAACACAGAACATCAGCCAAGTCTTATAGGGGCCCACTGTCTTGTGTTCGTAGGCATCCGTTAATTAACAGAAGCCTTTACAAATCTGTCCAATCATACAAATAATTTAATAAGCTATTTAATTTAATAGGACTTTCGACTGACGTGTATTCAATGAATTATTGGAGAATGGAAACTTTCATCACACTTTTAACTGTTTAAATGCAATGCTTGCAGCCAGTCTTAAGTCTTAACAGTTCTTCTTACTTCTAGCAGTCAATTATTGCACATATAGAACAGGCAGTCTGGTTTCAAAAGAAGGCCACAGACAATATCAATAAATCATAATTCTGCAAAAAGCAGCTCAAAAATTGATTTTACTCAAATCTACAATAACTTTCATTACAAATATATAGCTGATCTTTTTTCTATGGGACTTAAATTGGTTTCAGTTTAAATGGAAACTTAATGGACAGTGCATGGAGCTTACTGGAAAGTTATCTACCTCAGTATTCTTCATTTATAACCACTAACAGCATAAGGACACTTCTTTTCTAAACTTTACTCAAGGAAAGCAAGACCTGGGTTTAATGGCTGCTTTGAAAGCAACATCAGCGAACAGATAACTAGTGAGAAATATCCAATTAGGAGCCCTCTTTTCATCTGCAGGCTCTATCTTTAGTGGAATCAATAATTTTTGACGAGAGTGCTGAGCACAGTTTTGTGTATCTGGTTGTGCTGGGTTCATGCCTACAGATTCTCAGAACTATTTCACAGATTTTGCTGCCTAACAACATAGTGTAACTCACTTGAGTAGGTGTAACTACAGTACATGATCAATCCTTAGGAGCACCTTTGTGTACTCCATAGTTATTGCCAGAGAAAAGTAAGAGCAGAGTGGATTGAAGCTATCTTCACACATCTACTCAACTTCGCCTAGAGATCTGGCAAATAGAACAAAAATATCTCTCTTAGCTTTATACTCTATGTGGGGTTTTGTAAAGCTTTGTAAATATTCCTAAAAAATCTTATTCCCTCTTCTGGAATTCACAACATGTTTGAAGAATGTTCACAGAAATATATATTTTTTAATGTACACAAAACTATTGAAAACCACAGCTGGGTAAAAGATTGTTCTGAAATTTAAATTGAACTCAACAGCTGGTTGAAATGGCAGCTGAAGACCTGACAACCTATCTTCTTTCTTCTTGCAGTACTGCATATGTAATCGGAGATAAAACATTTACATTTCTTACAAAAGTGAGGTCCCACGTGAAACCGGGGTTCTCTCAATATTTTACCTATTTCCTAAACTCAAGTCTGGTTTCGTACAAAAGGGAGTGATAAGGCCTTATGTTAGAGAGGCATGCCAGCATCGTCTTCTCCTTATAAAACCCTGTGGCACTGTACAACTCTGAAGCACATCGGTGCCCAAGGACAAGAGGCAAACCCATATGTTTAAAAACAATGCTAAAAACTAACAATACCAATTCCATACAAAGGAAAATATATTTAAATCTAGCATAAAATACATTTTTTAAAATAAAGGCTACTTAGAAAAGAACAGTGGATCTACAATTGCCAAAGTCCCACTAACCATAATAATTTATCCGTAATTTTAAAATCCATCTTGATTGCTGTAGAAAAAGATACATTTTATCAAACACTTTCAGGTGTAATGGAATGCAGGTGCTATTGAGCATGTGAGGACTGCATCCCACCCACAAGTTACAAATGGCAAACCTGCTGCTCAGTGCAAGAGTTTCTTGGTGTTCAAGGGAGAGGGGGAGGCTACTTTAGGAGAAAAAACTGATAAACATCCACCCCTACAATTTCTTACCAGTTTATCCAATTGGGGGTTGTTGGAGCCAGAGCCTATCCCAGCAGGAAACGGGTACAAGGCAGGATACCCTGTAGAAGGGGTGCCAGCCTAATGCTGGGCAGATACAGACATACACATTCTCACACCCAGGCCACTTAACATACCGGTATGTCTTTGAAGAGTGGGAGGAAACTGGAGCACCTGAAGGAAAACCACATGAACACAGGGCAGAACACACACACACTCCTTACAAATAACGCCCCAGGTCCGGAACTGAACTGTACCACTGTGCTCTCCAGCTGGCAAAAGTAGGATTTGAAATGTATGCTTGGCAGATGGGTCAAACCTTTTATCTGGTCCATGCTCACAGTGGACACCATGGTTATTTCCATTTCAGCCATCTTTGGAAAAAGGTCTTGGATATTCTTGCAAAAAATATTTTTTTTTTAAAGCAGTCTGTGGACCACAAAGAATGCAGATCCCTAAACAGATCCCCTGTGCTAGGGACCTTTGACTTTGCTATGTGATTCAGTAGACAAAGATAAAATATTTTTTTCACGGATTCCCATTTAATTATAACCCAAACATTGGAGCTTAATGGATACAAAACTTATAAGTGTATCCATGGCAACTAAAGAATACAGAATACAAGGCAATATAGTGGGTCATTAGCTGAATTGTCAAGTCAGAATACAGCTTGATCCCTTGTGCCTGGCTCAAACAGTTACTCAAATGACATTTCAGTAGTAAGCTATTATTTTAATTTGATGTTCAGGACTGAATATAAATTGATGCTTTCCTGTGTGTGAACTAATAATTACCACAGAACATATCATTAATCAAATACCCACTCTCCCGTAGGTTGACGGGCAAAACAAAACCAACTGCTTGTTCTGTAAAAAATTCCACTTTCATGCACGATGCTAAACAAAAGTCTAAAAGGGCAAAAAACAGCACTTTAAAAACAACTTTCAAATAATTTGAAAAGTATTGTAGGTAACATGCAATTTGGAAAAGATGTTCGTCTTTTCAATCGTACAGTGTGCTCATCCCTGAAAGCCTTCTATTAAAGAAAGAAAGATTATACTTGAAGTTTCACAGTGACAACATACAAAAAATAAATGGAAAAAATATCCCCTTTTTAAATGCAATGTTATCTAATAGGTGACCAATCCCTGAAAGGAATAGAAAAATTACATAGGTTGTCTTTTAGCGGCAGCATGACAGATAGCTGATTTCTGAAAAACAATTTTAGGTGCTTCATTTTCTTTCTGCAGTCTTATATGAATAAATATTTTTAATTTTCAGCAAGCAGTTTCATGAAGCTCAGGCTTGCCAAGACTACAGTAGGGGTTTAGTGATGCATTAAGTACCATGTGATGTGTAGCATTACAAAATGGAGTGTAAACCTTCCAATAGCTGTGAAGAACGTGATGCATGCCTAAATGCGGTACACAGTTTGCCACTTCATCGAAAGACTATGAAAATCTGCCTTTCAAACAATCTTCGCCTCTTGTGATTGACTGATCTGTGAGGTACAACAAGAACTTCACCACAAGATCAGCAAGCATATTGTGAAATTGTTACTCAACGAGGTACATATAATATTCCACACGCTTTTAGAACATCATTGTGCCCTTATCCTGAAACGCAAGTTAGGGGGATTTAAGGTTCCAAAGTTTCCATTCCAGAATCATTGCACATAATTTGATGGCTGCTAGGTGTAGCTTCCGCTGTAGCACATCCTTTATCAAACGATGATTATCACATGATGTAGGACATACCTACCAAACTGGGGACAGAGATTCAAATGT